CATAATATGTGTTAACTCCTGTACTGTTCTTGGTTGCAGAATATGTAGGAGTCTCCGATACGTAGGAGGTCCGACTCCACCAGGCCAGAGGAACAGCATTCATCCTACATGAGAAATAACACTACGATCACAGCCTTCTTTAATACCTAGCCACCTACGATTAACCTAACCATTTATTTCATTTACATTCCAGCTATTATACAATATGTACATGAAGGAAATAAATATGTGAATTAAACTTTAATAATAACATGTGTTCATTTTTTAATAAAGAAAACCCTGTATTTGTATATGTATATATATTAATATTTAGCAGAATTTAATCAGAATGTATGGCAGATTGCTGTCATTCTACTGTCAGGTCTGATATCAGGCCTGGCGTGAATCTGCTTTCGTTCTGCTGTCAGGTCTGATGTCATGCCTGGCGCAATTCTGCCGTCAGATGGATGTCAGGTCTGCAGGCCAGGCCTACCGGCATTCTAGCTGCCTAATGCGACAATTGCGACACAGCGACCGCCAGCGAAAAATTACGAGATCCCTGGCCCTGCCCTTGATTGTTGATGTAGTCGAGTACAAATTTATGCCAGTGTAAAGACAGGGCGGGTGGTCAAACATGACACATTTAAATGTGAAAAATATAATAAGATAAGAGGATTTTGATGAGGTAGAAAGCTTTGAGACTTAAGAGAGATCTTTAAAAAAGTCCTGTCTTAGGCCGGTATTCAGAGTCATTGCTTATTCTCACTTATTCTTAAGATCGTCTTAATTATTTGCTATCCCTGTCTATCCCATATTTCCAGTCCTTGTCTTGTACAGGGAACATGGACTTATTGTTAAGCAAATGCTTAAGACGATCTTAAGAGTGAGCAACGACTCTGAATACCGGTCTTAGTGTCACTCAAGTTTCATGAAGATGTTTTAATTGGTTCGTTAATAATAATTAAAAACCCAAATAGTATAACAATCATTTAGTTTCTAAATAGAACGTGTCGCTTACAATTCCGATAGCTTTCGTTCTAACGAAGGGAATCGAATAAAATTAACAAAAGACCCACGGTATCAGTGTTCTACCTAATTATTCCTATAAACGATACAATTACAATGATCATTTGTACTTATATCGATACAATTCTTAATTTATGTATCCGCCGACTTTTATGCGAGATCGAAAACGATTTACATTTTGTACAATTATCTCTACAAATTAAATTATTGCATAAAGTACAGCGGATCGGCTCTCGGCTAATCGTTCCTAGGATAAAACCCATCGGATAAGAAGAATCCTCATCCGAGTCTCAAGAAGATAGAGGCTTCAAGACTTTCTTTTCGATTAATTCAAATTTAAAGCTCATAGAATACAATTCGTCCGGGTTCCCGGCCTCGATGAAGCCTGCTTCGGATTTCAATCAAATCCAACGATAATCATTTAAAAACAAATAAAGAAACTCTCAACATCTACCAAGGGTCGTTTAACCCCGGTCATTCACAATTTAGCCATCGGATCCAAATTACCGGCGGCGAACACATTGAAAGGGTCCAAGTGCTTCTTGGCAGCCCTGTAGAGCTCTACTCCAGCCTGACCGACGGCATCCTTGTAGAACGAGGATCTGAGCTTCCCGACTCCGTGGTGATGTGACAACGATCCGCCGTTCGCCAAAATTTCCTCCCTAGCAATATGCTCGATGGTCTCGTACGTCTCAATCGGATCCCGAAGGTTCTCATGATTAAACGCCAAGTAAAAGTACACACAGCATCCTTCATCGTACGTTTGAGTCACACGACAGGAAATTAAAAATTTATCAACGCCTCTGGCGTTGCATTCCCTCGCGACCCTGGACTTCACATTCCTACAGAGCGAGACGGCCCGGTTCCAAGGCACGGAAGTTTCGAACGATTCGGATAAGACCCGATACTCGAGACCCAAGTCTCTCATGTAAGCGATCACAAAGGTCAATAGGTAACCGCGTTCGCCGTTGGTTTCACCGGCCGCGACGCCGTTGTACTTCTTCGATATCGAGTAGATCCGAGCCTCTTGGGCGGAGACGTCGGCTGCGGAGTCGCCTTCGAAGAGGAGAGTAGCCACGCAAATTTGGTCCCAGTGGAAACGTTTTATTCGAGTAATGTATGCTTGTTTAAGGCCTTGGAGTACGAGGCCGCACCAGGATGGTTCCGGGCGGAGGGTCTGACCGAACTGGAACTGCTCGTTGTCCATCAACCGGATACTGGCGGGCTGGCAACGTTCCTTTGCTACCTGGAAATACCTCTGCTGCTTACAAGGGGAATCAGATAAAATTTGGTAGGGACGTTTAGCAAGGGTTTATTGAAGTGTCTGCCAAGTTTCATCGAGACATTTCTGTCGGTTCGGTGACAAAAAAAATAATTATTTCATTTTTAGTAAATAGCAGTCGCTTCAAATTGTAATAACTTTGCTTCTAATTAAGCGAATCGAACGAAACTTGGAAGAGATCTTTAGGAAGGCTCTACTTAAGTGTCTTTAAAGTTTTATAAAGCTATGTTCGTTATTTCCGTAAATATTGTGAAAAACACTCGACGCTAAAGGATTGCATTGATTAAAAACATTTCTATGATCATTTGAACGATTCTGATCGTCATATTTAAAGACTGTACACTTACTTGTCTTAACGCTTGAACTCCTGCTTGAAAATGTGGAAACACGATGCTTCCGTATTTGACGACAGCAGGGAGCGGCCTGATTTTTAACGCGACCTCCGTGATAACTCCCAAAGTTCCTTCACTGCCGAGTATCACGTGATCGAAGTCCGGTCCACAGGATGCCCTGGGCACCAGCATGTCTCTTTCTAACGTTATTTCTGGGTCGTCGGTCCTCCCAGTAACCATTCGTACTCTCACCACTAGATCCTCTATGTTCCCGTAACGATTCTTCTTCATCCCGCTGGCTCTTGTTGCAACCCAGCCACCCAAGCTGCTCTTTCAACGAGCAACAACGAATTTTGATAATTATTGTATTAAAGAGTTTTAGCGACTGCAGAATTTCTTTAATTGAGCGTTCAGCAATTTGTTCATTTGAATTGCAATAACTCTCGTTGTAATGAAGGGAATTCGAGAAAATTTATAAGAAACCTTTAGAAGGGTACCATCTAAGTGTCTTTAAAGTTTCATGAAGGTATCTTGACCCATTCGTTAATACTAATTAAACAACCAAGTACTGTAACAATTATTGTTTATTATTAAAATACTTTCTTTAAAATTGCAATGACTCTCATTGCAATGAAAGGAATCGAGTGAATCTTGAGAAAGATCTTTAAAAATGTCCTATTTCAGTGTCTCTAAAGTTTAATCAAGATATCTTCGCCATTCGTTCGTAAGAATAAATGCGTCGAATACTGATTGTACCTAGAGAACTCATAGGAGTCTGGCTCGTGTCCGGAAGTGAACCCTCTGATTCTAAGCTGCTTCTCGAGGTCCTGGCCAATAATCCCCGCCTCGCAGTAGGCTATAAGATTCTCACGATCGATCCACAGAATTTTGTTCATCTGCGACGTGTCTAAGGAAATAATCGTCCTGTGCTCGTTGGCTGGACACAGGGCAGCTCCGCTGACGCTGGTACCGCCCCCGAAAGGGATGCAGGCTGCCCCGAAACGGGCGCAGAGCTTGATAACTTTCACCACGTCCTCGTGGCATCCTGGGGAAAAATGAATCGAGCCAATTCGATTGATCAAATGAGATAAAGTCGTTGGCATTGTTAAATTGATTGATCAAAAAATTAACGATTGGCGGTTGGATCTTTTTTAAATTCATTGAGAAATCGATTTCTGCTAATCCGATTGAAATTGCAAATCGGCAGCTTGTTCACGGCAAACACGCTCCTTTATAATTATTCAAGAATGCTGATCATCGTAAATACGTTTAACTATTTATGATTGACACCACTGAGTCTTTGACTAACCGACTAACTGATAGCAGTGCAATGTTTCGAATTTGCATTTCTAATTTTTACTAAATAAATACATCCGATGATCCGGGAGGGCATCGCTTACTGGGCCAAAGTACGATGTCCGGAATCCTCTGGAATGACCCGTGCTTGAGCAAATAGACTTCTTTCAACGCGTGTCCGTGGGCTCTGACCAGACGATCAATTCCTTTCAGCGAACGTTCGATCTCGGTATCCTCGACGGCTTCTAATAATTCTGAGGATAACCGAGGCTCGGGCAGATTCTCCGGCAGCGGCTGGTTAGTAGTCTTCTTCTGCAGGTCGACACCGAACTTCTCGTGCACCCATTGGGTGAAGTACGGCAATTTTGTATTACCAATTGGATACCTGTCGAAATTTCACGATAAACGTTGTATTAATAAGCATCTGCAAAGTTTCATTCACATATCTTCACGGATTTAATGAATATAATTAAAAAATACTGATAGAGCGATTGACTGATTCTCGATAGACGGTCGTACTTACAAATTACTATAACTTTGCTTCGCCGCGATTGGTATCGAATGAAACTTGAAAGAGATCTTTCGAAAGGCTCCATCTAAGTGTCTCCAAAGTTTTATAAAGATATCTTTGTCGGTTTAGTAAGTTCAATAAAAAAAAACCGAACAGTAAAACAGTTATCCAACTTTCAAGATTTACTATTCGATTCAAATTGCAATAACTTTGGTTCTAATGAAGGGAATTGTATGAAATTTATAAGGAACCTTCAGGAGGGTTCTATCTAAATGTCCCAAGTTTCACTATCTACTAACTATCTCCTCTGGTTCGTTAATAATAATTAAACAACCGAATAATATAATAATAATAATTTATTCACTTTTTCTTATCGAAATTATTTCGAATTTAAAATTGCAATAACTTTTGTTGTAATGAAGAAAATCGAATGAAATTTACAATGTACGTTCAGCGTTCTGTCTATGTGTCTCCCAAGTTTCATAAAGACATCTTCATTAATGTTCTAACATAAACATTATGTCATACATGTCATAAAATCGAATTACAACGTTCTCTATTAAGCAAATAGCTGGATCGTTCAGGAGGTCAGCAAATTCCAAAGTACTAACGACTTGAGCAAACTTGTTGCCCCGTTTTTGCATATATGCAACGATTACGATTGTTAGTTTAAATAATCAAAACTGAATACTATCGACATCCGTCTCTGTTTATTTTCGTCTGTGTTTAACTTTGCTCAAGGCCTCTGTTGGATATTCCGTTTAACTATAGAATTTAAGATCTTCTTCCTTTCCGTTTTATACGAAATTAATCTTTATGGAACATTAATTAATTAATTAATTTTAACTTGTGGGGGGCGCGTACCAACCTGTTGCCAGTGAATTCGATCACCTCCGTCTTCTCGTTCAAACGAAACTCGGAATCCTGGTATCCCCAGCCATTCCACTTTAGTAATTTTTGCCTGAAGTAGAAAAACTTTTCTCATAAATTCAATTGTTAATAACGAACGGGTTTACTTTGTTCACGACTTAAGTTAAAACTTGAACTCTCTACTTCAATTTATATCGTCAGAAAAATTATGCTAAATCGGTTCCTAAGCAATGGAAATCAATTTTGAGATAGATGTTGCAAAAATTCTGAAGATTCTATCCTAACAAAGATTAACGATCCTTTTAAATTATTATTAACTTTGTTAATAATGGACGGATTTACTTAGCGACTTAAATTAAAGCTGGAAATCTCTATTATCTTTTATCTCGTCTAGACATTTTGCCTAAATCTCTTTAATTTAAAGACTCTGAAAGAATAAAATCGACCGAGAACTGAAAGTTGTTAAATCCCACCCATGGAACATTGAACAGACAAATTGTTGGACTCAAATTATGTTAATAACTTTGCTAACAATCAATCGACTTACTTCGTTCACGGCTTAAATTAAAGCTTGAAGTCTCTACTTTAATTAATCTCCTCTATCAATTTACTCTGAATCATCTCGTATCGTAGAAAAATTCGAAGAATATAAAAGAAATACATGTTCTTACTGAGTGAAAGTATATTCTTTTTCCGTGTCCACCGGCCACGTGACTATCAGTTAGCACGCGACCGGTAAATCAATTTCACCAAAAATTCACATCGAAATTCTTCCATCGAACCAAGCAATAATTAAAATCCTTAATTAAATTTACTGTCAACATTCGAATCACAGTGGACCAAATCGTCTAACTAAGTTGAAGTCATTCTCTGTATGTATACAAATAACACGATCGTTCCTACGTTTCATGCAATGCGCACGTAACAACTGTCTAGCAAAGTACATACTAATCATTCTCAAGATTGGAAGGTGTATCGTAAGAATCGGGGGAGTTTAACTCGGATGAGTCAGCCTTGCAAAGCCTAGGCGTGGCTGCGAAAACACGGGCGTGTGCGTCTTATCAGTCGACCCTTATCATCAAAACCTTCGATCCCTAAAGTTTCCCAATTATTCTAACACACGATTCTAAATGAAAAGTGCCGCTAAACGAGTCAACAACAAATCGTCTAACAAACATCCGAAGTATTTTACACGGCAAACACTGTCCTCGCTGCTAATTATTTTCTAATGACGGTAAACATCGAATTCAGAGATTCGAATCGAGTTATTTTTAATGAATGTTCCAAGCGTTTTACGGTCAGCCTATTATTGATTCTTAAACCGGCGCAACGTTATTTGCAATAGACGATCAATTGTTTGAATGAATGCTTCTTTAAAACCAAACTTTACAAGATTAAATCGAAGAGTGCTGACCTGTGTTTGGGGACGGCGCTTACGACTTCGATGGGCCCGTTCGGCTCGTACTGGGGCATGTCAGGCCCGGTCTAACCTCTGCCAACGTGAACTGCACGACACGGTTTAACCGCGAGCTGCCGACACGCGCAGCGTTTAAATCGATACACGGGCTCCTCCTTCGTGTCCATCCCTTCCTCTCCTATCAAGAGAACACCTCGTGCTGTCGTGCTCGCCGTGTTCGTGGTCCCGTGACATCTCGGAAAGTTTCGTACGTTTCGTACTGCCGACAGATTCTCCGAGCGTTAGAAGCTTGAATATAGTTTACGGAGTATTCTTCATGGTTCGGTTCAGTTTATCGACGCTTTTTCAGGAGGATTTTGTAGATGGGGAAGATGAAAATGTGACACGGAGCCGAGGATTCTTTGACTAGCAGACTCTATAACAGTGCTGTATAAGAGTGGCGTGAGCTCCCGCGCATGCGCAGACAGTGATGTTCAAAGCGGCTTTATGACAGGCCATTCGAAGAAAATTTATAAAAATTCTTCAGAAGGGTGCTGTTTAAGTGCTTTCTAACTTTGATTAGGATATTATAACTGATTCGTTAATAATAATTAAAATTCCAAGTAGTATAACAATTATTTAGTTGTCGATTGGAATTCTTGGCTTCAAATTAGAACAACTTCAGTTCTAACAAAGGGACTTCGATGAAAGGGCCTAGCTGGATAAGGGGGTCAAATGTGCCCTTGAGCCGAATGAAGCGCCCTTTGCGCCATTCGATAGCATATCAAAAAAGAAACATTCACTTCAATTTTTAGCCCTATATCTCAACCAGGGGGGTAGTAATCGGGAAAATTCGAAAAATCAGTTTTTTGAGGTATTTCCTTACTTAACGCTTTGCGAAAAATCTGAGAAAATTCTAACATGTTCATAGTGTAGCTGGAGATGTCTGAAAATTTTTTCAGATTTTTCCCTTGCAAAATGTAGCCGTGAAAAATAAAAAAGTGTTAAAAATAATTTCTTCACATTGAAATTGGGGGGGATACCACTTTCATAT